TCATACCCCCAAACAGGATAGACTCCCCACTCCTGACCCCTCTCCAGAGCAGCACCTTACAAACAGACCTGTTAACTAACCTGCAAAAAAAAAAAAAAAAGGTGGGGGGGAGGAGGATGACCACTAAAGCTTTGCTTTTACTCAAACCTGTTTAATTACCATAATAATACACTATCCTCACCTATGTGGACCAATGAGCCAGTCTATTCATATATGCAACATGCTCATATATGCAAAGTGTTCAGATATGCAAGATGGTAATAAAAAATAGTGTCCAAAAAGAAATAAAAATATAAAGCCCCTATGCAACAGTCCAGAACTTCTATAACAATGCTATTACCAAATCCAATACAAAAACCTGGACATGCACAGGTATTTGCTCTTTTTTTCCCCACTTTTCTTGTATAAGGCTTGGAGTTGAATGTCCATATAAATGGGTTCATGTAAGTGAGGGTCTACAGTATGTACAAAGAAGTTTTTTGTTGTTGTGGTTGAAAAACAAAAACAAACAAGAAAACCTTATTTCCCAGGTGCAAATATGTGGGATAGACACTAACTTCCTGCAGCCAACCCTTAAGTGTTAAAGCCAATTTCTTGCCAGTTTCTACTAGAGTTGTGTATTTGACTGGTCAAATAAAATTTGGTCAATAGGCTGGTCAAATATTGGTCAAAAATTGTAAAAAAATTCCAATAGGTCCAAATAATACATAGAAAAAGCACACATTTTCCTTTCAGAAATGTGTCAAAACACACACACACAAAAATGTATAAAATTACAAAAAAATTACTTTTCTTGTAAAATTTCTATAATTGACCAATCAAAAAATAGGCAGTCATTTGATAATATTGACCTGCTTGCCCACCTTAGTTTCTATGAAAATATTTACAGCTCTTTCATCCAGTTGCAGCTTGTACTTTTGTACATATTCTTTCACTTATACTACAGTATTTCAAGGCACATTGTAAACCCAGCTCAGCTGTATATGCCTCTTGGTTATTCGTGTTCTAGTGAGCAGCTTTCTTTATCGGTTCTACTGATCTGTTAATTCTCTCCCACATTCCTTGTTGTGTCCCTGGGCTTCTTGTCTGTCATGGAAACTTATCTTGACAGAAGGTGAGCCAATGGCCCCAAAGGCAACTGTGGCAATCATTTCATAGACCAAACATCAGTGTGTGATAACACATTCTAAGAGTGGACACTCTCCAATTCTCTCCTAAGTAAGTATTACTTATAGAATTGTGGACCATTTCATATGCCTTGAGCTAACTAGAGTCTAGACTTTTGCATATCTCACTTCATATGTGTCTCATATTTGGGATACAGATATGGGGGCCACACTTCTCTTTCCATCGGAGAGAGAGCATGTTTCAAATTTTATGCGCAGCACATGAGGAAGAAGCTCCGATTTTAGGACAGCACAGTTACAAGACCACAGCATCTATTAACATTCTACACTTTCATAAATGGGTTTGAAGGACCCCAACTTCACAGACAGGGTGAAAAGGTAAGGCTTTTTTATGGTGGCAATGCAAGGTTTATAGAAAAGCCACCTAAAAGAGAGTGTAAAAAGGATTATATGGTTTACAACTGCCCTGTCCCAATGACAAAGAGCAGTAAGACTCAGGATGACAGTGGACTCCTAAATTTCTCACAGAAGTGGCAATCTTTCTTCTTTTATCATGTGACCTCATTAAAATAAAAAAATGCAGTGCATCTGATGCTCAGCATATGAATTATTTTGCATAATTGCCTCCAATTTTCTATGTGAACTTGAGTTTTGAAGTTTATCAGAACATAATTGCCAAGTGTCAGGTCTACTGTGTGTGCTTTGTATAATTTCCTGGCTAGCAATGGTAGGAAGAGATGGAAGATTGGGAAAGGGGAAGAAGGAAGGGAGAATTTTTCCTTGTTCATTTCACCAGGATGAGTCAGTCCTAAAGAACCAAGTAGGGTTTTACAGTGAGAAAGAGAAAGGGTATCTTTTATTGGAAGTGCTGGACTGGGACCCAGAAAAACAGGGTTCAGGTCTCTGCTCTGTCACAGATTTTTGGCATCACCATGAGCAAATCATTTTCTCATGCCTAAATTCACCAGCCATGTTATGTGGGGGAGACACAGGGGGACAAGACTTCATAGAGGTACCTGGGTGCTCCCTAAACACCAATAGCAGAAGTCATATTATGACTGTAGGTAGTTGTATAGTTTACACTGTGTAACTAAGGATTTGGTGCAGAGACCATTGGCAGTGGGAGTTACTCCATCAACTCTGGACCAAGCCCCTTAAACATAAAACTGACTGGACATGACCACCCTAAGATTGTTGCTGTCATTATTATGTCTCCATTAGTGTAACTGAAAAATTGTGGTGTTCAGAATTTTTTCCCTGTGGTTTTTTACCTTATTCTCAGCTTCCTAGTATCCAAACCAGTTTTCTCTCAACCCCTTACTTGTTTAGCATGTGGTTGCCACACCATTTTAAGATGATAGGGTGCATTTTATAGAGTGTGTTTTTATCATAATAGGAGTAGAAACTGGTCTTATACAAAGCATTTTCATTTCAGCACCAAGATAAACAAGGGCTGTGTAACAAAACTCAACAGCACATTTCTGAAAGGATTATTTTTCTGGAAAACCTTCTGCACCCAACTTCCCTTCACCCACTACTATGAAATGACGCTAAGTTGAACTATGGGATGTGTTACCTGTGAGAGATGCTCTACTGTCTGATTACAGATGCAAAAAGGACATGCCTACATGAGACATTTACTTCAGAGGTGACTACTTAGCTTTGCAGTAAATGTCTCAGCATCTACACGTGCTGGCCTACTAGGAAGCAGGAAAGTAATATACTCTGCAGCAGGGTAACACTTGTAAATACAAATACTACCCTGCATGGGAGTTTCCATGCACAGCAGCACACATGCAGACACTGACATGGCTGGCTGGGGCACAAGGGTGCTTCAGTGCGGGAGTTGCCTGCTGGCTAGTCCTGCACTAGAGCATCCGTGTGCCCCAGCCAGCCCCTCCACAGCACGTTATTGAGCCCAGTGGGAGCAGCCTTAGGCTGGCAGTCTGACCCTCCCCTCCTCCCCCGGCGCCACTGCTAACTGGGGCTGCTTCAAATGGGCTCCACGTGCAGCATATTAATAAGTTCCAGAGTGGATTGATCCAGAGTTAATTGTTCCTGGGCACACATTTAAACAGCGCACCTGGGAGCAAAAGACTCTGGAGCAATAAGCTCCAGAGATTATTCAAGTGCACTAATTACATGTGTAGATGTGCCGAAAATGACACATTTCAAAGCAGCCTCCAACAAAAGGTATTTTAATACATGTAAATCTTTTGAGTCAAAGGCACTTTATGATGGGTTTCTTCCTTGCTTACCCTGTTAAGGTAAAATTGTGCATGACAAATAGAATTTTATTATAACCTAAATTCTATAAACAATACATTTCTAAAATTATTTGCTGCTGCAAATATCAGATGTTAACTAGGAAATAAAAATTTGCAAGAGAGGCATTAAAATGTCTTTTTAGGCTTTATTTAATCAGTCTTCTAGACAAAATGTGTATGGATCAGTTGCTTTAAAAAGAATTTTACTCCAAAGCTAACCAAGCTGCAGGAACTGAGAATATTTTAAAAGATACTCATGTAATCTTTCCAGCAAATTGCTGAATAAAGATGTTTCCTATATTCACATTAGGGAGCTACAATAGATCATGTATAAAATAAAGGTCAAATCTCAACACACTAAAAAGAAAAGGATGGCATAACAGAGTTAATGTTATAAAACTCTATAGTAGGTACTGTAAGTATAGCTAATGTGCAAAAATACTCGTATTTATATGAAGGATTTTGTATTTAAAAAAAAACCAGAAAAAAAAAGGCACATTATTACTTGAAAAAGAGACTTTTGGCCACAGTAAAGAAAATATTCACTGTTAACTGCAGGAATGTGCTCTGTCTAGGAGATTCACAGTAGATACAATCAATATCTGCTGTTTGCTTACTATTAATCCCTGAACTCTCTCATTGCTGAGCCTGATGGCAGGATTCTAGGATTAGAGCTCATATGATGGAATTTCTTTAAACAGGTGACCATGTGCTAAAAATGCACTAACTCACAACATGAGAAACTGGTTCTAGTCACTGAGATTTATCTCTGTGAAGCTGGACAGATGCAAAAGGAAGTGAGTACCACCCTGGTTTTGAAAAACTTTCTTCTGATTAATATGTTTCAGCTTTTTACTCTATCCATCAGGCTATAATAATTTCTCTTTACTATTCTTTTCCTATACCAACATAATATTTCTGTATATGTAGCCGATAAAAATTTAATTCAAACAGCTATCACTGTCATGTAAAGGAGCAGCACACAAAGTTCTGTTGTTACAGGGAATAAAACTTTGCTCTTAAAACATGTTTCAAAAGCATAGTTAGTCCTGAATGGTGAATGAAATTCACCTCTTGTAACACCCAGCTCATCACTGGATCCTGCCCAAATCCAGTAGTTCAAACAATTTTTTTTCAAAGCAGTAAAATCTGGAAAGATGCACTTTTCTGATAAGATTTGCTAAAACTCTCTTGTAATGTTCCAAAAATCTCCTATATAATCACCAGGCATTTTCAATGTACTGTTTCTTTTAAAGGAAAAAAATTAGGGAGCTTTAAAGTACGTTTTTATTGATAGCTTCAACTGAACTTTTCTCTTTGAGATAGAAAATAGTAAGAGGGATTTTAAAAAGTGTTAAAGTAATCCTGCAGGATTTGATTTTGAGACAATTAGAAAGGATCAGAAGAGCCTTTCTCAAGCATATCTGTCAGTGTGTCCCAGCATTTCATTGCTAAAACAACAGATTGTTACTGACCTAAATGTCAGATGATACTTCATCTGAAAAAAGCTACACCAGCACCACCCAGCAAGGCAGTGGAGAGCTGGCATTAAGACTTCCTCAAAATAGCCTGGGAGAACAGAAGCCTGAAGTGGCAAGAGTCTTACCTTGAGTATGCAAGATCCAAGGAGAGAAGATCACTGGCTCACAACAGTGGAGGACTGAGAAAGTGCTCTGATCAGCAGCTGGTAGCATGCTTTGGCTTTTATGTGCAGGTGGGAGGAGCTGCTCCTTATAGTAGGTGGGCAGGGAAGAAAGCAAGCAGGCAGCAGTCAAAAGGCATTGTGTGGCTGATTTTGTTCTTCAGGGAGTGAGAAAGAAGTGGAAAGGGAAGGACATTGAATGGCATTCACAGAGGAAGAAAAGCTTGATTTTATTTGTTTGTTTGCAATCAGTCAACCCATTAATGGCTTAATGTTGTTTCTTTAGAACTAGTGTATTTTTTCCAGTTAGAGTTGCAATGTTTCAAGGTCCATTTTTGCCTAATTTGAGGATTTTTTACACCAGTAGGGTAATAGTCCAAAGTAGTTAGTAGAAAAGCTGATATCCCTCCTCCTCTGAAGGAAGGAAACTAGAAACAGCAGCCTCTCAGTCCTTAATGTTGCCTACTTACACAGCTACTGGGTTTCTATTATACTCTATTCCTCCACTCCTGAATACTCTTATTTTTCTGTCTGTGGTGTTACCCTGGTTTTTCTTGATATGCTGTAGTGTGTCCTATCTACACACTGAATCTACCCTCATTTGGAGCAGTTTCCTTGTTCCCTTGTGATTGAGTTATAAACCATTTTCCTTATGCGTTATTCCCAAAAATCCAGCAAAGCTAAAAAGACATGTAGGAACAGATTCCTGGGGGCTTCTGTGTTACTTTATTGGCCATACTACCTCATTTGCTGTTTTCAGAACACTGGAAAGCAGTATTTTGGTCATGTCCAGAGGCATCCATTCGTTTGCCTAGCCTCACAAGACGAAACAGGTGCTAAATGAATATGCAGCTGAAATGGAATAATTCTTGATTGGTGCCACAACCTGCATTAAAGAACCTTGATCCTGTTGGTGCCTCTTGGTGCTGCCATCGTACCAATGGCAAATGAAAACATGCTTTTCAAAATTGTGTTAAACAAGCACGCTAACAGATTCAGAGAATGGGGAAATAGATGAGGAGAGGAGAGGAAAGGAGACCAAATTGGATGGGCCAAAGTAAGAGAGAGGACAGTGGTATTACCAAAGTAATAACATACATAGGAAGTAGGACAGTGCTCAGCTGAAGGAGAAGAGTTTAAGCGGGTCATCTCTTCTGTACTTCCGCAAATGATGGTGCCCATGAGATAAGGGAGAAGGAGGATAAGATATTATAGAAGGGAGATTAGATAAATTCATTTGGAAATGGATGGATAATACACAGTGAGTGAATCTACACATGTAATTAATGCGTATCACAATGGAGTTTCTCACTCCTGGGCACCACGTTTACACATGCACCTGGGACCACAGCGCATTAAGCTGGATTGGAGTATCCCTAGGTGGCAGTAGGCCCAGGGGTCAGCTGCCAGTTTGGGGCTGCTCTCTCCCAGCTTAATATGCTGCAGAGGGGCTGGCTGGTAGGAGTGTGCGAAATGAGCTGTATTCAATTTGGATTCAGCCCGAATTGGGGGCAATGATTCAATTAGTTGATTTGGATCACAGACCCAGGAAGCACAGTCACTGAGCTGGGGGGACGTGTAGGGCCCCCCCTTTATATGCCCCAGCGGACCCGGAAGTGGACCAGAAGTGCTTCTGGTCCATTTCCGGGTCTGCTGCTGAGCGCGCTGGGGAGCCCCCTGCATTCTCATGGGATGCTCCGTCCACCCCACCATCTCAGCGTTCAAGAGCTGCCAGCTACCTTGAGGTATGTAGAAAAAACGTTAAAAGCTGTGTCTATGTCTGAATTGCTGAATCTTTCCAAGTCTCTCCAAATCAATTTGGAGGGTTCCAGTTTGATTCGGAGAGATTAAAGGGTCTCTTGATTTGATTTGGATTTAGAGATTCGGACACTGAATTGGACCGAATCTCCGCTGAATCGAATCAGGGACCGAAGCTTCACACAGCCCTATTGGCTGGGGCACCAGGGGGCTTCAATGCAGGGCTAGCCAGCAGGTAGCCCCCACAGTGATGCACCCTCATGCCTTAGCCAGTCCCATTTAAACAATGCCACTGCAGGAGAGTACTTGTATTTACAAGTACTAACCTACAGTAGCATTTATTAGTTTACCAACACCTAAGAGAGGTGAGTGTGTAGATGTAGAGACTTTACTGTGGAGTGAATTATTCAGCTCTGCAATAAAAATCTTGTATAGATGTGCCCAGTATCTACCACTCCCTAGACTAATGGTATGAATACCTAGTGCAGTGCCATGCAAGTTAGAGACACCTAACCTAAGTTCAGGTGCTAGACATGGTAGATTGGCAAGAATGTGGCTTTCTAATTAGCCCTATGGACAAGCATGGCTTATTAGCCTTGTGGAGAGCCAAACTAAGACAGCTGTACTGTTCCTGATACCCAAGCCAGCTCACGTATTTCTGCATGACACTGCCTTGTACCTGTAGACATACTGTTTGAGGCCAGTGTGGCTACAGCATTCTAGGTATCAAGACACTGGTTCTTTGCTGGATTGCAACACTATAGATAGTATCTTGAAATCTGGGTGCCTCATACTAAGCTTTTCAAACCAGAATTAAGAACCTGAGGCTGAGCAGCTGCAGGTTCTGCCAAAGCCCTGAGGAAAATGTAACTGAAAGCAGTTCAGGACCTAAGTTATTTTAATGATGGAGTAAATCCAGAAGGTCAATTAAGATGAGAAATGGTGGATTATCTTTACCTTTCCTTTCTTCCTCCACCTCATTAACTTTCTTTGTTTCTCTTCACTATCAGGAAGCTAAAGAGCCATGTCTTTGGTAACTCAGCTGACTTGGCTGTTCTGATCTGGAGGAACAGATCAGCATACTCTAGAAAGTGAGCTCCTATATGCATGACTGTTAATGTTATCCAAGAGCAGTTTTTGGTAAGCATAGGAATCTGCCCCACTGTCCTTGGTCAGTGACTGCTCCTGTTCTTTGAACTGCATAGCTGCTGCTTTCTAAACCAGAGCTGGATGCCAGAGCTGGGTGTTGGGAGCATATGGCACCAATTGCTTACATGTTTCTGGATCAAAGCTATCTTATGTTTGATTAGACATAATAAGTTATTCAACAGCAGTTCTGTACTTAATGGATTTCTGTAGCTAAGTATGAATGAACAAACATTCTTTTAAAACCTCATATCTTACAGTTCACTTAAAAAGGCAGGGGCTGTGGCCTGAGAAGTGTCCATCTAATTTTAGACCGGAAATAAATATTAAGGAACGGATAAGATGTGGACCCTTGCAGTAGCTTACATGGTAAGTCAGTATACATACATGAACATTCTGAAATGACCTGATCTTTAACTGATGTAACCAAACAAAACACTAGATATTCTCCGCAAAACTGGAAGTAACCATCATGTGACTACATGATGCTAAATAATTAGGCAATTCTGCACAAAAAGAAATTTGAAGTCAAGGTTACCAGAAAGAGAAGTCTAACTTTAGGCTTTCACTGTTTTTCTCAGTGCCACAAATTGGCCTGGTTTTCAAAGTCAGCAGATAGTGCTGGGTCTCGGGTGCTTTTAAATATCTAGCCACTTTTTGTGGGGATGTAAACTTGGTTTGAGAAGCCTACAATTAGTCTTCTCTCTTTGAAGAGCTTGACCCTCATATTTAGATGTGAAGATCCCAGAATTAATTGGTATTAAAGGTACTCTGTGCGACTCATCCACAATCCCTAGTCTAAGGAGTCCTGTTTGGATGTACATCCCAACAGATTTCATTTCAGTGCAGCCTCAGCTTTTTATAACAGAGTGATAGCAATAGAGGACCTGAGCAAAAGAGAGATTGTACTTGCTTAGCGCTTTCCAAAAGTACTCAACAAACCTTGTTTAAGCTTTCCAGTATCTCTGTAAGGGAGGGGAATGGTATGCCATCTGTTTTACAGATCCTTAAATTAAAGCACCATCAGTTTAAATGGTTAACTCCAAGTTATCAGACAAAAGTGTCAGGAGTATTATCTCCTTGTTCTCACATCAGTAATAAAGCACTTTCCTTTCCCTGATGAGTTTAGTGCATAGTGTGGCAGAGTACCTTCAGTGCCTGCCACGTTAAGGTTTGGGAGCAGGCAGCAAGGTAGCCTGCAGGTGTGGGCTACCCTTAATCAGATGGTCCCATGATCCCAGGAGGGCCCTGGGACTAAAGGAGGGGGCAAAGTGTAATCTTCCATGCCAGTCTCTGGTCCACCGCTTACATTATTCTACCTAGCCTGCACTATCTGCTACTTTATGGGTCTACAGTTTGGCCAGCCATGTAGATTATTAAAGTCACCAAGAGTTCTCACCTGCCACATCTTGGTTGTAAAGTAATTTTGGGGAGGATGATGTTGACCTCTCTTCCTTTACCCCCTTTACACCTGCACACAGTGTAGCTTGGGCCTGGGGCTCCGCCTCCCCTTCAGCCCCCCCACCCCACTACCACCCTGATGGTGCTGTGTCAAGTCCAATGTATATTTGTTTTGGTTTACTCACTTACAAGAGTCTCTGCCATGATAATAGTGGCATAGGCTAGCAGTGACAATGTCCACAATAAATACATCTATTTCTACTCAGTCTCACGTATCATTTCCTTATGCAAGGAACGTGGGACTTGGACATGCCTAAACACAGTCCCAGCCTTCTTACTCACCATTTTGTTACTCTCCTTTTCTCTTTTGTCTTTAAGGTTCAACTTTGATCACCAGTGTCTGCCTCCAGTGGATGCTGCTGTGGTAAGTACACTGACTCCTCCAAGTCTGTTTTAGTGATGGCCTCTCTAAACTAGGCCTCCACCAATCGCCCCTGCTGGGGCATTCTGCCTTCTTGCACTATTCCAGGTGAGGTGGGGAACTCACTTCCAGTTCCCGTTTGATGTTGTCCTGTGGCAGTTTTAAACCAGTGCCTGTGTTCTGCCCTACAAATCAGCACTGGCATGCACTTACAAGGTGTGCCCATGATAGGAGCGGATACTTTCTTTCCTTCCCCTCTTCCACTGCTGGCAGCCAGTCAACTCGTGGTCCCAGCATCTCTGGTAAGTCTCTTGATGTTGCAGGCTCTTAATTCTCTGCCACATGGAGCAGCCTCCATTTTAACCCAGGCAG